TTTTTTCTCCACTGATTATCCTGCTAACAGTAGGTAGTCATCCTGATTTAAATGTAAAAAACTACCAGACTTGTTCACCATGCCCCTAGAATAAATGTAGTGGATTATTCTGTAATAATCACACATTTGTTTCGGTGGGAAGTTCAACTCTCCTAGGTAGCTATCACTCTGCATTCAAAATCTTATATACTTTTATGTCATTCATATCCCCTCCTTTGACAAATTTTGAATTTCCCAAAAGTTCATTTATCCTGGCGAAAGTGAGAGTAATGGTTCTTCCTCTGAGTTTTGTTGTGAGATAATTATGCACTAAATTATCTTGGTCATCATACTCTTCTACAGATTCCATATTACAATAAAATCTCTTGACCACTTCAGGATAGTATTCACTACTAATACTCAGCCAGCTAGAATAGTGTTACAGAGGGTTACTCAAATCTAATTTGATCTTCTCATTCTTTTCCAAATTGCCCAAATTTACTGAGACCACAGGACAGAATTTTTGAGTTGCAAAATCAGCTTGGAACTTTAACAGGCTTATACCTTGATCTAAATTTCCAACCAAGAATTTAGATGCTTTGAAAGGTATACCTTGGCTAGAAGACTATTGAGACACACCCTCTCATGTTCTCTATTTCTTGTGTCGTGGTTGTTTAGGAATAGGAATTCGTAACGCAGACTCCACAGCTTTCTGAACTGAGGCTTCATCATCGGATTCTGTTTTAGATTCTTCGGTCACAACTGGTAATTTGGATTTTGAGCGTGGAGATCGTCTCTACAGTGTAGGTTGCCCAGTTCCTTTGGCTTGGTTTTCTCTGATCTTAAGCACTCCCTTTTTCTTCAAATGCTCTTGCCTCACTTTGGGTCTATATCTCCTTTTTGTCGTAGGAGTAGTAACTTCTTTGGACTGGGTTAGCTTTTTCGTGTTTTCTTCTCGGTCACCTCCAGGTTGTTTAACCCTCACCATTTTTGATATACCAAAGGATTTTGAGAGTTTGATTGGTAAAAAGAGTGTTTGAAGAGTACGGTAGAGATTGAGGATGCTTAAGGATAGATTTCGAGTAGAAAGAGGTGAGGAATTTAATAGAATAGTCAGATATTAGACCATTGTGCAAGAATAGGGGAACAGTTTTATCGAGCTAGGGTTGCGATAACTGATAGGGTTTTTCCAAATCTAACCTGTATAAACACTAAATTTATCGATCAAGTCATTGAATAATAAATTATCGATAAATGTTAAGTAAAAGTACGTACTTGACTTGGTTTATCGATCATTTGATCGATTAATAATTTATCAATCAGCTTTTCGATAATCTTATCCATATGCTGGACTTGACTGTGATTCTACATTGCTGTTGATTGATGTGTTGATCAATAATTGAATGATCGATTAGCTTATCAATAATATTCCTTCCAACTTCTTTCTTTTGCTCCACATACTTCATTTATTGATCAGTTGATCAATAAATCAACCCTTCCTTACAGCATGATTATCGATGTCTTCATCGATCATTCCATACTTTGTTCTCCTCTGTTTTTCTTTAACAAACCAGAGCTTCCTATAAAACAAAGTTTTTTTTTATAGTTAATTTAGTCTTTTAATCATCAAAACCTTAGCTTTAAAGACTTAAATTGGAGAGATAATTGATAGCCTCTCAAAATTCCCGCTTATTCAACTTGTTTTAGTGTTTATTTATTTATTTTTATTTATTTGGTTTGGAAGTCAATTTTGCAGGAAAAAAGCCTGAGGAAAGTAAGGAATAGAGGCCAGAAGTAGAGAGCTGAAAAGAGACCATCCGCCGGGGCCCATGGGAACAAATGCCACGGCGGCTCTAACAGAGAGGAAGGAGTGCATTTCTGTGTGAGGCACCGCAGCGCCTGATCAAATCTACCGTGTCGTCCAAGCTATCTCGAAGGAATCCCTATTCGGTGTAATCCCCCACGGTTGATGATCACATCTGCCGCGGTGCCGAAGCCACTGCAGCAAAGCCATTTTGTAAAAGGCACCGCGACGCCTGACCCCTCACAACTGTGCTTTTTATGATGTAACTTAAAAATTAGGGCATATAGATGGGGATACTCAATTTTTCTAGGGACACTTCGACTTTGGGGCAATTTTGGAGGCTTGCTCTGCTAGAGTTTAGAGCTTTGGAGGCTTGGAATCTTTGGGCTCGAAGCTAGAAGAGATTCGAAGCTTGTCACTCGATTTTTCTCAATTTTCTTCTTCTTCCCTTTTTGTTTCTGCTATGACTACTAGCTACTTTTATAGTTGTAGTTCTTTACTCAGTATGTATAGCTAAATCCATTTTTCTAGGGTTATTTTGATCTATTGTATAGATTGAGACTTGGTTTTACTATCTCTTGAGTGTTACTGATAATGTTCAGTTGTTTTTATCTCGAGCTTAATGCTTCCTTATGTCTGGCCATCATTGGGATTGAATGTTTGATTAGTTCAACTTGAGAAAGTTAAGTTAATCTGTGAACTTTGGTAAAAACATGCTAGTCCGGAAATTTAACTGAGTAAATAGACGGTTTGTTGATAGAACAGAGATATATCCGTTAACCTAGCATATACTAAATGGGTTTTAATTTTCAAAGTGCAACCTTTTCAAACAAATGCAAGAGATTGCTATGTTTTAATTGTGACTGCAAACATTTGGTTTTGACTTGAGAAAGCTTAATAAATTCTACAAACCCCGACTAACTGAACTTATTGTTAAGCAATACTTAAGTGATTAATCTAGTTTCATGAAGTATTTTAGTGAAGAATAACCCTAGTCTCTTAATTGTTTCAAGGTCAAGTTGATTTTATACTGCCTTAAATCATTGCGTTCCTAATTTCACTTCACAAACTCTTTTACAACATTTGTCTCACTTAACCTAATCAAGAACACAATCATGATTTTCAACTCATCTATCCTTAGTCTCTGAGGGAATGATACTTTTTATATTACTTGCAACCCATCTGCTTGCGGTTTAGCTAATCCGTGAACAAGTTTTTGGCATCGTTGCCGGAGACTAACGCTTAAGTTTCTTTTGGCATTTGTATTGATAGTTATAGGCAGCAGTAGTAGTATTTATCTAGTTCATTTCTCTTGATAAGTTTGATACTTTTTTTTTCGATTTGAATGCGCAGGTAACCCCTGACGCATGCAAGGAAGAATGGAAGTTATTTTGGAAGAAGTTACTGAAGAAGAATCCAGTTCAAGAGAAACTAAAAACACACCGGAGCTTCAACAACAATCCCAGCTACTTCTACCACCACCACTTGAAACAAAACCACAAGAAAACATGGCGGAAGAAGATGAGAATGACGTGTACACTCTGGATGACTATTTAGATAAAGAAGGGTAGACTTTTCATTCAAGTATCCGGCTACCAGACATTCAAGCCAGGAATTTTGAAACCAAGCCTGTTATGATTCAACTACTGGGGATGATGGATACTTTTGAAGGAAATTTTAATGATGATCCGAATGAGTATTTGACCAAGTTTATAGAGGTTTGTGAGAACTTCAAACAAAATGGGGTTACTAAAGATGCACTGCGATTAAGATTGTTCCCCATGTCGTTATCTCACAAGGTGAAAACATGGTTGAATTCTCTGCCAAAACACCCAATTAAGACTTGGGATGAGCTTGTATCTAAGTTCAAGGCTAGATTTATTCCAAGAGGCAAATGTGCTACATTAAGGGGTGAATTGCTTTCTTTTGAGCAGCATCCGGATGAGTTATTCTACGAGGCTTGGGAAAGATTTAAGGATATGTGGAGAAATTGTCCAAATCATGAGTAAAAGAAATATGTTCTAATGGAAGCCTTCTGGAATGGGTTGAATGATCAGATAGTGACAATGCTGAATACCGCTTCAACTGGAGGAATCAGAAAGATGAAGGTACATGAGCTATGTGAATTGTATGAGGAGGTGGTGTCTAGCACTATACAACAATATAACAAGAGAAGGCGAAGTTCTGGGAGATATAAGGAGCCTAGCTCTTCATCATCAAGAGATATTGCATCGCAACTTGAAGCGATCTCTAAGAGATTTGACAATCTAGAATTGCAGATTAAGAAGGGAAATGCTGCAGGAATTCATGCACTTCAGGCTCCAGGATATACTTGTGACCATTGTAATGAGGAACATCATTCTGATCAGTGGCCATAAACCTTAGAGACAGTCAATTATACGAATAATGTTTAGTGAAGACCACAAGGAAGCCCTTACTCTCAAACCTGCAATCCAAATTTGAGAAATCACCTAAATTTCTCATGGTTAAATGGGCCAAGTTTGAACCTGCCACAAATATTATCATCTAGTGCTAAACAAATGGGGCCTCTTGGTTTTCATGGCCAACCACAACAACATCAACTGCAACATCAGCATCCTCAAAAGGAGGAACCCAAAATTGAGAAGATGTTTGCTCAGTTACTAGCAAACCAAGAATCTACAAGGGCTAAGAATAAGGCAACCTTCTCTCTCCATGAAACTGCTATCAAGAATCTTAAGGTCCAAATGGGTCAACTGGCTTCACAAATGAATGTACTCACAAGAAACAGCTTTCTAAGTGATACCATTCCCAATCCAAAAAGGGATGGTAATGAAGAGTGCAAAGCTATCAGTTTAAGAAGTGGAAAACAACTACCTAAAATTCCGAGGCCTAGTAAGACCAACAAAGACATCACTAACGGTGTGGTGATTGATCTTGATACAAATGATCTTTCAGAAGAAGGTGCTATAATAGAAGATGAAGAGACCAAGAAAAGGAAACAAACAAGAAAATCTCAATGATGTAGTTTGAGGGAAAAATGTAGAAGGTGAAATGGTTGATGATAAAAAGAGGAAGACAACTCCTCTTCCTTCCTCCTCTTCCTTCTACACAGATGCTACCACTTCCTTTTCCTCAAAGGTTTAGAAAGAAAGATGAAGATGTCTAGTTCAAGAAATTTGTAGACATATTTAAGCAATTACACATCAACATCCTGTTCACTTAAGCATCAGAGCAGATGCCTAAGTATGCTAAGTTTCTCAAGGATGTTCTCTCCAAGAAGAAGAGATTTGGTGAATTTGAAACAGTAGCCCTTATTGAAGATTGTAGTGCCATCCTGCAGCAAAACCTCCCACCTAAATTGAGAGATCCGGGCAGTTTTTATATTCCATGCAATATAGGCAAACACTTCAATGGAAAAGCTCTACGCGATTTGGGAGCAAGTGTTAACCTGATGCCTCTAACTGTTTTCAATCGATTAAATTTGGGTGAAGCAAGGCCAACAACTGTTACATTGCTCTTTGCTGACAGAAGTATCTCATATCCAAAAGGGATTATAGAAGATGTCTTGGTGAAGGTAGATAAATTCATATTCCCAGCTGATTTCATTGTGTTAGACTGTGAGGTAGATTGGAACACGTTATTTTGGGACAACCATTCTTAGCTACCGTAAAAACCCTCATTGACTTAGAAAAGGGTGAGATCACCATGCGAGTAAATGATGAGAAGGTGATATTCAACATGAATCAAGCCTTAAAGCTTTTGGATGATTCTATTCACTGTAATTTTATCGATGTGATTGACTTTGTAGTGCAAGAGGAGTTGATTAACTCTTCAACCAAAGATCCCTTGGAAGCATTGTTGATTGGAGAAACAAGCAGTATTGATGGTAAGGTTGAAGTGTATGCAGAAATGATGTGTGTTGAAGCATTTCCTTATCGAAAAGCTAAGACTTTTGAGCCTTTTGATGTAATTAGTGCTTTAAGCTCTCCACTAAAGCCTTCTGTTAATGAACTACCGGTGTTGGAGTTGAAGACTTTACCTTTACATCTCAAGTATGCCTACTTAGGTAGTTCTGCTATATTACTTGTGATTGTTTCTTCTCAGTTGTCCATGTTACAAGAGGAGAAACTGTAAAGGGTCTTGAGAAACCACAAGAAAGCTATTAGGTGGTCTATAACTGACATCAAAGGGATCAGCGCTTCTTTGTGCATGCATAAGATTTTATTAGAAGATGGTCACACTCCATTGTGCATCAAAGGAGATTAAACCTGATTATGAAAGAGGTAGTTAAGAAAGAGATCCTTAAATGGCTTTCTACTAGCATAGTATACCCTATTTCTGATAGCTCATGGGTGAGCCCAGTTCAATGCGTCCCTGAAAAAAGCGGTATAACTGTAGTGGCTAACACCCGAAATGAGCTAGTTCCAACTTGTACTGTGACTAGGTGGAGAATTTGCATGGACTATCAAAAGTTAAATGCACTAACCAGAAAAGACCATTTCCCGCTGTCATTTATTGATCAGATGTTGGATAAACTTGCTGGGCAAGAATTCTTCTGTTTCTTGGATGGATATTCAGGATACAACCAAATTGTAATAGCCCCAGATGATCAAGAGAAAACAACGTTTACTTGTCCGTATGGCACGTTTGCTTTTAAAAGAATACCGTTTGGTCTTTGTAATGCTCCAGCAACATTCCAAAGGTGCATAATGGCCATCTTTGCTGACATGATTGAGAAGACAATTGAAGTGTTCATGGATGACTTCTCTGTTTTTGGAGATTCTTTTAATTACTGTTTAGATAATTTGGTAGCTGTTTTACAAAGATGTGAAGAAACTAACTTGGTTTTGAATTGGGAAAAATGTCACTTCATGGTACAAGGGGCATTGTCCTTGGTCATCGAGTATCCAAACAGGGCCTAGAAGTTGACAAGGCAAAGGTATCTGCTATTGAGCAATTGCCTCCACCAACAAGTGTTAAGGGCATTAGAAGTTTCTTGGGTCACGCAGGATTCTATCGTCATTTCATTAAATATTTTTCCAAAATCACTAAGCCTTTGTGCAATTTGTTGGAGAAAGATAGTGAGTTCAAGTTCGATGACGCTTGTATGAAATCTTTTGAGGAGTTAAAGAAGAAGCTTACATCAGCACCTAATTGGGAGCTACCCTTCATCATTATGCCAGATGCTAGTGATTTCACCGTTGGAGCAGTACTGGGACAAAAAGCAGAAAAGGTCTTCCATCCCATCTACTATGCAAGTAAAACCCTGGATGATGCTCAACTTAACTATACTACCACAGAAAAAGAATTGCTGGTAGTGGTGTTTGCTTATGAGAAATTCTGCTCTTATATTGTAGGCACTAAAGTAACTATCTATACAGACCACTCTGCCTTAAAGTACCTGTTTACCAAGAAAGATTCTAAAGCACACCTGATTCGCTGGGTTCTTTTGCTTCAAGAATTTGACCTGGAAATTGTTGATAGGAAAGGCATTGAAAACCAAGTGGCAAACCATCTGTCTCGGTTAAGTAGTAAGCTTAACATGATCATTGCTAAGAGATCAATGCAGCTTTCCCTGATAAATGCCTATTCTTTGTGGACGACTCGATTACTCCATGATATGCAGATTTGGTTAATTATTTGGTTTGTGGAACTCTACCACTAGACCTTAACTCCCACCAAAAGAGGAAATTTCTTCACGATGCGAAGATGTACTTCTGGGAAGAACCTTATTTGTTCAAAAGATGTGCCGATCAGATGATAAGAAGATGTGTTTCAAAAGTTGAGCAGCAAGATATTCTAGAGTGTTGCCATTCTTCTGCCTATGGTGGGCACTTTAGAGGAGAGAAAACTACTGCCAAAGTCCTTCAAAGTGGTTTCTATTGGCCTTTACTATTTAAAGATGCATACGCCTTTGTGATCTAATGTGATCAGTGTTAACGAGTGGGAAACATATCAAGAAGGAATGAAATGTCTCTGAATAATATTCTGGAAGTTGAACTCTTTGATGTATAGGGGATTAATTTCATGGGCCCTTTTCCAAAGTCTCTAAATCAAGAGTACATTCTGGTCGCTGTGGATTATGTCTCGAAATGGGGCATGTGTATCCAGTGATGCTAAAACTGTGATCAAATTCTTAAAGAAAAACATCTTCACTAGATTTAGAGCACCCCGGGATATCATTAGTGATGGTGGCTCATACTTTTGGAATCATCATTTTCAAGCTCTGATGAAGAAATATGGTGTAAAGCATAAGGTAACTTTGGAAGCCACCCTCAGTCAAATGGCCAAGTGGAAATATCCAACCATCGAAAGTATCCTTGAGAAGGTAGCAGTGCAACAAGAAAATATTGGTCATTAAAACTGGATGATGCTCTTTGGGCCTATAGGACAGCGTATAAAACTCCGATTGGGATGTCTCCCTATCGGTTGGTGTTCTGAAAAGCATGTCATTTTCCTGTGGAATTAGAGCATGGGGCTTACTGGGCCATAAAAAAGTTCAATCTTGACTTTCAAGCTATTGATGCAAAAAGGCTCCTTCAAAAATTGAATGAATTGGAGGAATTTCACCTTAATGCCTATGAAAGTGCAAGGCTCTATAAGGAAAGGACCAAGAAGTATCATGATTAGAAAATTATACCTAAGATCTTTGAAATTAGGCAAAAAGTGTTACTTCACAACTCAAAATTGAGACTATTCCCAGGCAAACCCAAATCACGCTGGTCAAGGCCATTCATTGTGATACAAGCTTCTAACCATGGTGCGATGGAGCTAGAAAATGAAAAAGGTGAAAGATTTCATGCAAATGGCCATCGTTTGAAGCATTATTGGGGTGGAAGGTGGATCGTCAAGTCTCTACGATCTACTTTGCTGAACAGTCATAACAGAGCTGAAGAGTCAGGCTGAAGACTATAAACCAAGCACTATTTGGGAGGCAACCCAAGCTCTAAACTTGCCTTTTATGTGCTTTTTCTATTTTGGTTTTGTTTGAGTAGATTTACGTTTGATCTTTGTTTTTGTAGGCTTGTTGGTTTATTCCTTAAACTTTGGAGCTTAGCAGAAGGAGTGGTTGATTTCTGATTAGCACAACCAGGGAAGTACACCTAACCTTAATCTCCAGCATTAACTTTAACCTTGTTGATACATCTAGAATATCAAATGCATTTGATTGAAAATTCATTGATGCTGTGGCTTTGATTGGTTGTTTTGATTATGTTGGAGTTTGTGTTAAATTGAGGCTCATGGGTTTTGTTTTTGTGTGATTGTCTGTGTTTTGTTGTTTTCTATAGTCTTGTTTTATTGTGTGTTGGGTGTTTAAATATGGTAGGTCCAATTAGTGTTTGATAATTTTTCAAGGTAGGCCTTCTCTGTAGTAGGCGTCGCGGCGTGTTTGATCAGAAGCCGCGGCGCCTCATCCATTTTCAATGTCCCATCTCTGTAATAGGCATCACAGCCCCTGCCTAAATCCGCCACAGCGCCTTCGTCCTTGTTCTTCAGTCGTGTCTATGTAAAAGCCGCTACAGCATGTGCACCTAGATGCCGTGACACCCTTGTTTTATCCAGATTCAGCTGTTCTGTATAAGGCATTGCGACGCTTGACATGATTCGCCGTGGCGCCTTCTCACATTCTTTTCTTTTTGTGTTTCCCGTTTTAACCTCCCTTATTTCTCTCATTACCCACTTTGCCCTGGTGTATCGATAGGTTTTGGGGGTAGATTCTCTGTTTCCATTTTACATTCTTAACCCTTTGGCCATTTCCTCCTATCCCTTATCTCTAAACCCCTTTGCACTCATCCTAAATTGCAAGATGCTGATCATTCTCTCCCTCTCCCTTATTGACATTCTCTCCCTCTTTCACACCGTCACTCATCCTCACTCGCAAGCCACCAGCATTTTTCTCCCTCTCCTTCATCATCACTTTTCCTCTCCCTAACCGTTGACGGTACTCTCCCATTTTCTCACCGTCAACTCCCATTCCCATCTCCATCATAGTCTCTCCTCCACACTCTCTAATTTTCGACACCTCTATAACCCCTCCACAGCACCTTCCACCTATTTATCTGCTTTCAACAAAACGGTTAACATCACTGTATAGAGTACTTTTGCGTCTTCCCTCGTTTGTCTGTGTCTTCTTCTCACTTTGTCTGCTAGAGGTTTGTTCTTTCTTGCTCTTTTACTTTTTCCTTTAGTTTATTTTCGCTAAAGATGGGTGTTGATAGGATTGTGCATTGTGGTTAGGTGATATTTGAACTATAGATGGGGGCATTTTGATTCTCTGAGGTTGTATTGTGGTTAAGTTTTTAAGAAAATTAAAAAAAACTGAGTCATTGTTTATCCGGTACTGATTGTAAACATGTATTGATGAAAATGTAATACTTGTGAAACTGAGTGATCATAACTTGGAACTTATTTGAGAAAGAAAATGCGGTGCCTGTCCAAATTTTCAAATGATATCGGTTACTTACCCAAGTTATGTTATTCTTTTTCACTTGTAACTAGTTTGGAAATTTATTCTGTTTAAGAAATCAAACCAATTGAAAGACCCAATTGCTATTTTAGTAAAAATAGTTTAAATTGGCAGCTACTGATAGTTGTCTAACTTTGAAACTATTTTGTAAAAGAGAACCTTTGTGAATTCAGTTTGAATTGAGGGTCTATTAT